ATTCAGTGTATTAACTCTGACAGATTCCTGGGACATACATGGAATGTTCATAATGTAACTCATGTATGTCCCAGGAATATGCATGTACATCACATAAATGTTCCAGGTATATTCTGGGAATATCATTTTGCTATGTGGGAGCTTTGTCAATAAAATTTCGACATTTCCAGATTGTAAAGATTTTCGATGTAACAAGCATGGGCAGTTCTGTGGTATTGGTAATGGAATTTCTGCCTTGCAGTCTGCAGCAGATTTTGAAGAACACTCAACTTAGCCTGGCGCAGATTAAAACCTACTCAAAAATGCTGCTCAGCGGAGTGCGATTTATGCACAAGAGCCACATAATGCATAGGGTGAGACCTAACGGAAGGAACTAGACATCATTACAAAATCTGTTTTACTTTCGCAGGATATTAAACCAGCGAATTTATTAATATCGCCCAAAGGGTGTCTAAAAATCGGCGATTTTGGCCTGGCAAGGCTTTTTAATGCGGATCCATCCAGACAATACTCTCATCAAGTGGCCACGCGATGGTACCGCGCTCCGGAGTTGCTGTATGGTTCCAAAACTTACACGCCCGCAATAGACATGTGGTCTGTGGGCTGCATCATTGCGGAAATGATCAATGGTACCCCACTGTTTCCCGTAGGTGAAAACCCATCATCAATCGAACCAAGTTAACTGACACTCGTAGGGCGAATCTGATATTGGACAACTTGCGATCGTTCTGAGCACTTTGGGTACCCCGACTGAGGAAACTTGGCCAGATTTAAAACAACTTCCGGACTACAACAAAATTTCATTCATATCCAGCTCTGGAAAGCGCTGGAGGTTGATTTTGCCCACCGCTGATCACGCCACCCTGGACCTGATGAGGCAGATTTTGATTTACGACGGGCAAAAGCGATTCACTGCCCAACAGGTAAACAGGGTCCTTTATTGAAGGTTTATCCCCGTAAGACTTGTTGTATTCAGGCCCTGAGCCATCAGTTTTTCATCGAGGACCCAAAACCAGCCACTTTGAAAGACCTGCCGGATCCCAAAGGGTGCTTACGAAGCGAAAGACCCAGTTACAATCCCCAGGAATTCGACGAAATCATTGAACAGATCAATAAAATATCCTAAACCCGATATTGAAAAAAACGCCAGATACTTTTAATTCCATATATTTTTTTTGTATATAATGTACACAGTACAATAGTGCTAGCTATTTATTAAAGACCTTGTCAGTAGATCCATTAAAGCCTGACATTAACTTAAGCCTAACAACTTACCCTATTTACTCGATAAAGGGGGTATCATTAGAAAAAGGATACTATATTACAATTATTTTACACACAACTCTCTTCAGTCATATCAAAAAATTATCGATAGAACAATGCAAATGTTTGAAGGAACGATCAGGGCTTGGAACATTCGTTCAATAAAGCAAATTAAAAGTGACAACAATACACAAAAAGCCCGCTGGTTTTTTGGCCTACAACCGTACTATTTACACAACAAAATATGAAAACAACCAGTTGAAAACGATGCAAACTTAAAAAAAAAACGTACAAAAAGTCGCTCCATAAGGCAAGAAATACACTTCTAAAATGATAAACGCGTCTCCTTATATAAATAATGGAAGCTAATGTTCAATATCGCCAGAGGGACAAGTAGTTTGTATATGTAAATTTAATAAATGTGTATGTTACATGCGGAAAAAGCTTATGGCACCAGATCTATTGGAGTTGTTTCAGAATATTTTACTTGTTGCCGTCCACTTCGATTAACTGCGAACAGGCGGAAATGTTTCTTTATTGGCCGGTTTAGTATAGATTCATAATCAGTAGAATAAAGAGGATAAAAAATATTTGCAAAACTTTTCGAATTTCCAGATTGGAAAATTTAAATAAAGGCAAAAAGCATAAATCTACCGTCTGAACAATAAATATAAAAATAATATTTTTTTGCCTTTTGCCGGTTAATTAGAGCGGCATAAATATACCTTGGGTGTAGTTTGGAAAGCCAAAAAGCAGCAAAAATAACAGTGGACATTTCGCCCACCATATCACTAACTAAAAAACTATTAGCGCTCTAACAAATTAAGATTTTAACGATTTTAAAATGAAATAAAATTTTCTAAATAACGCTTAGGTAAATTGCGAAAACAGTTATTTGAAGGTCAGTTTCTCATATAGCGAAAATATCACTGAATTAGGAATTACTCGTAAACAACAGATCAACAACGATTACCAAATGTGCAAATTGTTGACCACTAACTTCCTGACATAAAGTTAAGTTTAGTGTTTGCGTGAACCCGCATTTCAGCTCTAACTCCTAGAAGCCCGTTTCAACTGTTTTTCTCTTAAACTCGATGTAAAAATATATTAAAATCCATTTTGCATTGACGCAGTTTGCTCCAGCCATCACGAAGTTCGATTGAGTCGAGATCAAAGAAGAATCTATAATTTTTCTGTTTTCGAAACCAGTCTGAATAATACACAAATTATTGCAAGCTTTGTAAAACGATTCGAAATAACAACGCAAAATAAAGAACTTACTGTGAACAAAAGTAAATTAGCTCGCATAAGAATATCGGAAATAAAGATGAAATATTTTATGGCGCTTTGAAAATTTTATACGGATTTTCATAATAATAATCAACCATAATCAACTCTTAACCCCATAGCATTTCCGACTTTCGATATTCTCACACCGCTTTATACTGAACGCAGTGTAAATAGCAATCAAAAAACCAAACTATAAATAAACTATTAGCGTAAACACTATAAATGGGTAGTATAAACTTAAATAAATAAAATAATCTTAACAAATATTGCTGTACAATTTCATTAGAACGGTAGAACAATTAATAGAGAATAAATGCCGCTTTTTCTTATTAAAAATGGTTTCTCCGCAAGTTTTTTTTAAGGAGTTTGAACCATTTTACTGTGAAAAAAACAGCACTGGTTTGATCCGAACACACTGAAGGTGCAGGTCTGAAGTATGGACACATTCACGAAAGCAAGTACTTTTTATTCGATTAGATTTCAACTTTTTTTTCGAACTGTTTTGGGACTTTTAGTTTGCATTATTTCGTGATGAGCTCCAACGTGTACAAATTTGTACAGGTTTATTGTTGTGACCGACTGAAACTATCGTCGCGAAGTTTCTACAAAAAAAACCGACAAAACGGAGTATTTGACTGAAAACATCTACTTAATTTCCTGAAGCTTGTTGCGGCATATCTATTAGAAATATCGAGCGAGAAAGTGACTCAAATAGAAACTGACTTGGATACACCTCCTCAGATTAGATTTGAACAATTTTTGAAAATCTCGTTCTTGTATTCAATTCACTTAGATTATTTTATGTGCAATCGCACCCTAGAGACAGACACACACACACTCTCTTTACAGAATGAATACTCTGAAACACAATGAGTCTATCGCCGCCCTCAGTTAAGTAGTTCCTCTAGTTTACCATCAGAGTATGTGATTCCATTGGAGCTGCCGAGTCGTACAGAGTATCAGTATCTTGTGTCGGTTCCCCTTGCAGCTGGCATTGATTTGTTAAAGTGCCGGCGCCACAATCACAGAAGAATCTAAACGGAAAAAAGTGCACCAGTTAAAAACGATCCAATTGCGGCGCAGTTTTTCGTACCTATCGTGCCGTATAAATTCAACGTCATGTCCAGCATGGCAAGTTTTGATGCAGTTAACACAAATAGCATTCCGATCAGTGGTATTACACGTCTGACACCTATAAAAATCGTGCATTGGGAAAGACGTGTAGGACGAAATCTTGTAAAGGCATTGACCATTCGACACAGCCTTTTCAACGGCATCTTGATTGTTGAAAATCTACAAGATCCAAATCCATTTTCATGTGATTGAAACCGAAAGAGGCAACTTCAGACATACTTTGTTTCCCCTGACGATTGGTTGGACGCCACTGGCAAGGCAAAGTCCTCCAAACCGATTATTGAATATCTGATTGTATTCAAGCGTGGCAGTGGCATTGTTTGTGATTTCTACACCTGCTGCCAAGCCGTCGAAAATTCGGTTGCGCCGCAGAATCGGATGAGATTGTGTGGATATTAACACACCCGCTTGTGCATTACGGAATATGTCGTTTTCTTCCAGAATTCCCTGAAATTTGCACTGGCTGTTATTATAAATCCTTTCAAAAAATGTAGCTTCAAACTTACCTTGCCACCATTGAATATGCAGATGCCGCCATCTCTTCCATCAAATATCTTGTTTCGCTTTAGAGTCGGATTTGAGTCGGTTTTAATCCACACTCCAGCCATGGCGTTATCAAAGATCTCATTTTGCTCCAAAAGACCGAGACCTCCATTGTAAACCAGAACCCCTCCGTTTTGTCCGCCCCAAATTTTGTTGCCTCGAATCACCGGGTTACTGCCCGTCCTGCCATTGAATTAAAACGCATTTTAGCCTCAATTCCCTTCCGAGTTCCACACACAGTTATCAATTAATTAGAGCTACTTTTAAAGTACCTTATCTGGACTCCTGAGTATAAATGATTGAAAATGTCGTTGTCTTCCAATTTCCCATGACCATTGTCATAGAAATAGACACCGACTTGCTTACCAGAATGTATACGGTTTCTTCTTAAGACTGGAGTGCTGCCCGTGGTGATCCAAACTCCAGCCAACGTATTCGCATACACCTACAATATATGATTTTACTGCCGCATTAGTGCATCAACTCAAAAAACATGGGCAGATTTCAACGAGCAAATTAAAAGTACCGCCAATTCAATCAGTTCAGTCCAAAAACAAATAAACTCGGTCGCTTCGAGTCTTACAACACAGCGAGTTCTCAATAAAAGTTAGATCAGATCGGCTTCATTTCAGCAAAGGAATGTCGCAGTGCCCTTTTGATCATGTGCTTACGAGACACTGCATATTCCCTTACCTCATTCTCCTCGATCAAACCCTGGCCTTTTTCATGTACATAAATGCCCCCATGTTGTCCATGATGGATCTTGTTGTGTCTTACAATGGGGTCGCTATTCGTACGGATCTGGATCCCAGCTAAAGCGTTGCCATATATATTATTGTGTTCGATCAGTCCTCGGCCTTCACCGAATATATAGACGCCACCCTATGAAAACAAAGCATGGATGCATTCATGAGCGCATTGCATGAATTAAACTCAAACTAACCTGATGTCCGTTATAGATTTCGTTCCTTCTGATAGTGGGATTACTGTTTGACGTGATCCAAACCCCGGCGAAATTATTAGAGTGTATTTTGTTGTCTATAAACTGACCGAGACCATTTTCATGGACGTAAATGCCCCCCGTCTGACCGTGATGAATTTCGCAGTGAACGACGGTTGGGTTGGCACCAGCTTTCACTTCAAATCCAGCAATTCGATTGTTGTGAATATCATTTCCCTCGAAGTAACCCTGTGAATGAACGGCATTGAGGGATTTTCGATTTGCGTTTTCTGCGTCTTACCAATCCATTGTCGAACGTGAAAATGCCCACGTCTCTGCCGTGGTGAATGTGATTTCTTCGCATGATAGGGTTTGCGTAGTTTTTCACCCAAATGCCTGCCAACGCATTTCTGCTGATCTCGTTGTCTTCATATGTGCCCTGGGCGTAGTCAGTTACATACAGCCCCACGTTTTCGCAGTCACTAATGTCACAATGTCGAATCGTTGGGTTTGCTCCTACTCCGCTTACACAAACTGCCGCACCAACTGAAGCAATGGAATGCGCGCTTTAGAAATGAATAGCCAATAGAAAAACGGATCAAAATTACACTGACCAACTGAAGTGCTCCTGATGACGCAGTGGTCGATTGTAGGACTGCAATTCTCACCGACCTCCAAGCAGTAGTGCTTGTGGTGAGGAACGGTTGATGTGGCTTCCGGTGAAAACTTTAACGTCATGTAGCCAGCATAAGCATTCTTCGCGCCCTCCACAAACATGACAGTGGATTCGGACTCACGCTCTAACACGACGGATTCTGCAACATTGCCCGGTCCAGCTCCTGCAAGGAAAAACTTCATCGTGACAAAATACTGCGTTCATTTTTAACCCAAACTTACCTATTAAAGATATATCGGAATCTATCACTAAAAATTCACCGCGATATGTGCCTGCGTGCAGGAAAATCAGCGCTCCTTGTTGAGCATTGCCTCCATCTGTTGAATGGTTGCTGCAAGAGCCTGTTACTGAACCAGTGGTGCTGTTGGTGCCGCTGCGCTCATCTACATAATCCAAAGCGCTCTGAAACAAACATCTTGGTCTATCTCTGAGCCACAGGAACGGTCACCAATCAACCTACCTGTACGGTGTTGAAAAATATCAGATTTCGTCCGCGCATACTGATTCCTTGATGATTAGGCCGCACGTGAATGCCTCGATACAATTGACGGAACGCTTCCTTCCAAGGATTCGCCATTTCGCACTCTTCGGGACTCAAAAACTCGAACTTGCACGCGGACAGGCTAAACAGCGGCAAGTCGTACTCGTACACGTTCTGATATAATCGCTTCCTAAACCAAACGAAAAAACACGTCTCATTTCCATCTGGCAAACCAAAGTGTGAAAGCTGGCCACTTTCCCCCTAATTACGAAGTAAACGGTGTTTGAAAAAATTGTTGAAGATTTGAGCATTACCATAATTCCGTGTCATTGGAGATAACGTTGAATCGTTTGCACACTTGGCTGACGCGGCACAAATCCAGCTCGAGCAGGTAACTGAAGATGGTTAACACTACTTCGTCCGGCAACTCATACTGGAGGTAATGAGCGGCTGTATTTGTACAACCTACAAGAAAAAGATATTGTTGGTGTCATTCAGTTAATCCGGGTTCGTTTGCAGTAGGGAAAAATCAAGTCATATGTTAAAATCTTCTGAACAGTGATTGGTTGTTCTGATTTGGAGGAAACCGAAGTTTTTGCAACTGTGGCCAATTCTGAGCTGATGGCTCAAGTAGTGGCGAGTGTACACATGCATGGTTAAGAACTGGGGCGCCAGTAAATTAAATTTGTACGTGTAAACATCGCCAATACTCATAAGAACTAGAACTAGATAGGGAAAAGCAGGCAAAGCGCAGATTTTCCTCAAGCTCACACTGATGAAGACACTTCTTCCTACCCAGTAAGAGCTTGAGCACGGCAAACATCCGGATAAATAAAGAAACCGGTCAAAACTGGGGAGTTTTGGCCGGTTGCAGCGAAAAACAATTTGGCGGAGCTTGCATGTTCAGAGGTGGTTTGCTCAGCACCACTACGAAGATGCAAGCTGCAAACGTTCCTGTTCCAGGACGGCTGAAGCGTCCGAAAAACTCACCAGTGCCAAACACCGTCCGCAAAAGCTCAACTATTTAGTAACACTGACAATGAAAGGAAAACGTCCAGTATTTACTTTCATATGAAGGAGGACACGACTTCCTGGGTCTCTTTCGGGCTGGTAGCATGGAGGAGCTGTAACCGCTGCCGCTGGCACCTCCACTTGAACAAGGAGGACTAGCTGGAGCTCCACCGGCAGTGGCAGCACTGGTACTTGGTCCTGGAACTCCGGCTCCGCCATCGGCTCCACCCTGGTGCTGAGGCGGCTTTCGCCTAAGATCGTAAGGAGACTGATGAGCTGCTAGTGGGCCCGCTAAAGGAGGGCCGCTTGAGCCGCCGCTGCTTTGAGGCGGCGGTGAAGTTCCTTGGGTGGTTGGCGTCGAACTGCCTGCTGCTGAAGGGGCAGGGGCATTCTGGTTGGGCTGGACGGGACACGTCGGTTCGCATGGTTTCGCTGCAAAACACGAACAATCATTGAAAATGAATCGCTAGCTCAGTTGGTTGGCTGGGCGTCTTACGTCATGGGCCTGGTGAAATCTTCTCCTAATGTTATTAGGCATAAAAAATTTTAAAAGTAAAATCAACAAGGCCGGCCAGTGAGTGTATTATTTAAATAACCAGCCAAGATACAAGTGCTGCGTACAACCAGCATCTATTGCCCAAGTCTAGAACAGCTTTCTAATGCGCCGGCAATAGGATAATCTAAAAACAGTTACGAGCCAGGTTTATACCGAAAATAGGTACCCAATTTTAAACAAGTACGGCGCGCTGCAACAATGCTACCTGCCGGCGCGAGTTCTACGTGACAAACTACAACCCAACCGTTACCCACTCTTTTCATGTGAACAATGTTCGAATCAACTAATTGTCGACGTCCTGTATATTTAAAATTAATTTCTTCGTAATTATCTACTTTCTCATTAATTCTAGCGAATTGCGAGCTTCTTTACTATCACAGCTACTTCAAAGTGAGTTCTTCTACCAGTTTTGCACATACAAACAGTTCATCAGGGTCTAAATGGTGATCCACTTTTTTCATAGACGTGTTGAATACTGAATTACTATTTTTTTACTTTCGAACTGTTATCAACGAACCACACTAACGGAATAATTATGCCCTGGTTTAAGTTGAGTTTTTTGGCACAAATGCAAACCGATTGCTGAATGGATTCACCAAAGCTTCACTAGGCAAAAATACGTCCCTGCAGACATTATTCAACCCGAAAACAGGATATATTTTTTAGTTCAGCTTTTGTAAGGAGTAATTAAGGTGCAAGTACACGTTTCATATTCAGATAGGAAAGGGGCATTTCATAACAAAACAGTCGGATGAATCTCAAAGATACTCGTGTACTTGGGTCTTCGTATATTTTATACATATATTATAATACAGAATAACAAGAACTTTCACGTGGGGGAACAGCCCTCATGAATAAAAAAGTTGCTCACTCGTCAAATCACTGTAAACTAAAAGAAGATAAAAAAAAGTCTGTTATCTCTCATACAAAGTGGTTGAAAGGTAGGCGTTATGGCCTTAGGAAACAGGAAAAGTACTTAAGAGGTGAAAAAATGCATGCAATGTACAAATCAATGCATCCAGATTAACCGGTATCGCACTATTTTCTCCACCGAGTTTAATATCAGTTTCGGCCAGCGAATACCTTGCACAAAATGCAAATCAAAATTAATTCCTGGGTTTCAGTCATTTATTGTCTCTATTTACCAATTAAAATACGTTTCGGTGTATTTTTCCACCATCATCAGTTTTATACTTGGCATACATTTTTAAAATGTATGCCAAGGCTTAAAGCACACCGAAACGTATTTTAATTGATAAATTAAGACAATAAATGACTGAAACCCAGGAATTAATTTTGATTTGGAATTGAAACACAGTCAGGAAAGTATGTACGACAAAATGCAAATAAACATTAAAATAATCGTCAAATACAAAACACAATTCATAAAAAATGCGGATGGTTTTCACTACCCGAACACGAAGCAGACAAGTGCAGAAACAAACTAATTATGTTTACTACAAACATTCATTCCTATTCTATCTATTGTTATGAAAGGGTACCCTATTTTTATGACAAACTATCGGTTTGCCCAAACAAGAAAAAAACCATTTATGATCTCTTCAATTTGCACCGTGTGTTTCCCAGTTTCAGTGGCATGAGAGAGCATTTTCTGTCCAACTGCATTATAAAACATACGTTTTACTATTCCCATGGAACATTCATCAGATTGAAAACGTGATAAATAAGCGGCTTTAACTGTTTATAAAATGACTCCCTTTCCTTCCCTATACTCACAATTGTTCTTCACTGGAAGCTAACTGCAGCGTTGAAGAAATTCAAAAAACAAAGCATTGCAGCCTACGTTGAAATCCTTGGCAAGTGCGAAGCACCTTTTAACGGAATGGTGTAAAGTTTGGGAAACACTTACGAGAATGTTTGGCACTATTCACTTGTCCTTTCAGCGGTAATACTCGATAGAACATCGTGTTGTGGGTGATAGTTAAAATGTAATTAAACCACTTCCTGTGACCTTAACAGTTAACGTCCTGCTGTCCTGAGGAAGCAAACTATCTAATAGTGGTTGTCCTGAGCCGAAGGCACAAAGGGGATTTGCAATGGAGTGTTTTGGGGCAACCATCTGAGAACTGCGCCACTTGCCAAGTGAAACAGTAGTCAGATGTTGGATGAATACGAGGAAAATATCGCTGAAAAGCCTTATCCGGGCTGTTGCCTACATATTAGGCAGCAGAATGTTTTATTTATAAAGAACTGTTCACTGACATTCCACTTTTGACAAATAAACTAGGCAGGTCCTTTGTGCCACAACACCCACAAAAAAAGTAAAATCGATCAAATCAGGGCGAATTTGCAGGGTTTTGGTGGCGTCATCGCAACAGGGGCGCGGGGCTCTGCATCTTATCGAAACGGAACCGCAGGGAAAATTAGGGCCGACTTGGTAATTGGAATATACGTCTTGTTCACTCACCATTTGAGGTTCTGGAAGGGGTTGGGATTCGGTTACCTCCAGCTTTTCTACGCGAACGCAGCACATAGGATTTAGATGATGTGAACGAAGCACTCGGCATCCTAAAAATCACTGGAATACTTTTCGGATGCAGATCATCAGCAGTGGTAATGCCCGGATTTACTGACAGCAGGGAAGGCAGCCATGTTGAAAAAAAGTAACACTGCTCAGAGGCAAAACGCGTACGGCGCAAGTCAACCGTCCCCGGGCCAATCGAAACTCCGTCTCGATTCACGTGAGCATTCAGAGGTGTTCTGACGTGAGTAAAATGTCAAAATGGAACACGAATTTAACCCGACTTTCAATGGTTTTATGTCAATTGTGTGGTGTCTTTTATTATCCGCATTCTACTTAGCCAGTTTGCACGTTTGGAACAGTCCGTTTAACAGGTAAATCGACTTTTTACTCTACAATCAGGCCGTTTTCACTCAATGTAAGACGACAAAGGCCTCCTACACAGCGACGTGAACTCCCCACTCCCCGCTCAATCTTGACCAGTCTAGGATTTTACTGCTGTGTTGCCAGACCGACGCAAACATCAATAAAGTCCAGGAGCTGGGTTGAATGCGTGGGCTCAATATTACCATTATTTTCAGTGGACGACGCCCCAAACGCTCACTGGCCAAAATAATGGCAGTAATCCAACTACCTGAGCCTTTTGGGTAGTATCGGTGAGAAAATTGGCAACTAAATTTGAATTGGCTCACTAAACCCGATAGCGCAAAGTACCACTGTGTGGCTCTATCCCCATATCACGTCCTCATCCAGCTTTTCTTGTTGCCAAACTGCCGGTTTTTTCCTGAGGTTCTCCCAAAACACTATGCTTTCTTCATGCTCTGGGGTTTTCTGTCTGGACCATTCAAAACCTTCCTCTTGTCGCCTGACAACGTTGTAGGGGTCAAGTAGGAACCGTGGGAACCGGGCAGCCAATGGAAAAGCCCCCGGATATTTAAAAATTAAAATATTTGCAATGATAGATGCACCCTAAACTTGCTTGATTGACTGGGTTTTTCACCCTGAGTAATAATGGAAATTTGTCACCATCTAACGGATATGTTAATCGAGTCGGGGAGTTTTCTGGTAACGTTATTCCAATCTATTGGCACGAAGGAAATCATTCATGTGCTAACAGGTCAACTTTTTATTTCGTTCAACCTTGCAACATATAGCGGTACGCATTGCGGTACATCATTTAACGGTACATTCGAGGACGGTGCGATAACTCTCTAGAATGGGGCCCCATTTTTCCTCAAAAGTAACTTGGAAGGGTTTTTTTCGCACTGATACCTTGGGGAAAAGTGGGAAGGTTTTACCTAGTTTGATTCGAAAATACCCTAAGTCAACACCAAGACTTTTGCAAAAGTTTCTGGGAGATGGGAAACATTTTATTGTTGATTTTTCCAAAAAAAAGTTATTCTTCATAAAAAGCTCTGCTGGGTGCAGAACCTAAAATGCAGCCACCAGGGATTAACTCTTTTCAGTCGTATACGAGGTATATCAGAAATTGTGAATTTTCCTCAAGGCTAAAGTACGGTTATTTTTGATGATATCGAATATTGTTATTGGGAAAAGTTGATCAGAATGTAGGACGACGTTCGAATATGCATTTACATCAAATTATATGGAAAAATACAAATTCGTATTTTCTGACAAAACTGGTATTTGACTGAAAAAAATGGATATCTGATGATTGTATACTTTTGTGAAGAGTGACTTTTTTTAGGATCGCATTTTAACGTAAAATTAATATTTAAAAAGTTTTCCGTATGGTGCGAACTTAAGTAGACACGTTTAAAGTTTTAGAAGCCCAATCAAAACCAAAAAATAGCTACACCAAGGGGGGGGGGGGGTCATGACCCCCATTCAATTGTCTATCCAACGATGCCAAAAAAGGCCATTTATTTATCTCTAGAATGATGTACAAATGAGCGCTTTTGCTCATTTTGCCTCCGAGAAATGAACAAAAATGGGACGGAAAACATGGAATTTTGGCATAATCGTAATCCTAAGTGTTTGATATTCAAATTTCGCTTTCTGGGTTAAAACTATTTGAATTTCCTCACTCGCGTTGTTACGACTGAATCGAGTTTTCAATTCTCTATCCAACGATGCCAAAACGAATTCTGTTGCTCGAATGGTTCTTGAGAAACTTGAAAACTGCCAACATTTTCTTATCGATGGTTCACTTTCTAAAAAGGCCATTTATTGATCTCTAGAATGATGTCCAAATGAGCGTTCTTGCTCATTTTGCCTCCGAGAAATGAGCAAAAACGGGACGGAAAACATGAAATTTTGGCATAATCTTGCACC